GTAGGCAAGGACTGGCCTGTCTCCCAAGACTTGTGAGAGTATTGGGTCATCCTTTAGGATAGGCTGTAGATCCTTAATAATGCGTTGGAGGGGTTTTAGTTGGGGGCTGAAGGTGACCGCTAGTGGCTGAATGCATCCGATGAAGTGAGCTGTAGCTCACGAAAGCTTATGCTCAAATAAATCGGTTAGTCTCTAAGGTGCCAATAGTACTCCTTTTCTTTTCAGGAGCTGTAGTAATTACTCAGAGAAGCCGGCAAGATGAAAGCCTCAGGGGGTTGTCCCCAGGCGAACTCCCACTGTTAGCCTCTCCGCTGTTTGCTGTTCACTTTCTGTCTTTGCTGAGCTAACTCTTCACAAGATTTGCTTTAATAAAATAACAGAACTTGCGTTGGCTGCATGCATGCGTGCTCATTTGGGTACACCTTCTGCATGTACACTGGCCAATCTTGGCAGGAGTGCTTGCACACACTAAGACCTTTATGTGGCACTTAGGGACTATTAATAGAAAGCAAATTGTGCACTTGCAACATAAGCATTCACATAGCGACTCTGATTTTAAGTTAAATTGCTTTATTAAATCCAAATAACTCCCTCTGCATGGGCAAGTGTTGCCTCTGCACTCCAGGTGCCAGAGCTGCAGTGAGAAGGGATTCCATTTACATATAAACTAGAAGCCAAGATACATGTGGATTCTTACTGCAACATACAAGTGTTGGATTTTTCAGGATGAATTGGTGCAGCTGGGTTACCCTTACAACAACTGTACGACAGATGGCTCTGATGTCCCTGTGAAAAATCTATATAACAAGTACAACACTTCCTATTCCATACAGGTAATTTAAAAAATCGAATGTTTTTTTTTTAAAAATCCTCCATTTGGATTCTTTTTCTGCACTCTTTCTGGACAGTCTGAATATTGGTGTGTGACAGACCAGGGGCTTAGCACTAATTATCATGCAATAAATACTTCTTCTTCGAGTGATTGCTCATGTGCATTCCAATAGGTGTGTGCACATGTCACGTGCACGATCGCTGGAAGCTTTTCCCTAGCGGTACCCGTCGGGTCGGCTGTGGAGACCCCTAGAGTGGCGCCTTCATGGTGGCGTATGTATGTCCCTGCCGACCCGCCGCCTGCTCGGTTCCTTCTTACCTGTTGGAACAGCTTAGTCTCTTGCTCTGCAAGTGCCTTATCGAGTGGTTCTAGTGTACAGAGTTGTTAGTTAGTTGTTAATAGTTGTAGATCAGGTTAGTTTAGCGTACTTTGGGGGGGTTTCCCCTGTTCTACTCTCCCCAGCACCGGGGCATGCCTCGGTCGCGTGCGAGAGGTGTGCAAAACCTATGCCAACAAGTGATCTGCATGCCGCCTGTCTCAAGTGCCTTGGGGAGGGCCATCAGACAGATAAGTGCCCTATTTGCAGGAGCTTCAGACCCAGGATTTAGAGGGAGTGGGACTATCTCCTGAAGCTCCTCTTGATGGAGTCGGCCCTTCAGCCACAGCCTGAGCCGATGCCGGCACCCTCGGTGCACAGCACACCGGCCTCAGGGTGGGATGTCCCGGCACCGAGGAAAGACTCCACCAGGGAGCACCGGTACCTCTCCCTGGCCCTCAAGGCCAGTGCCTCACGGCGGCACTGTTCACAGCCTCCAGTGCCGCATGAGAAAAAGAAACCAGACAGGGGTCGTTCCCCTGTCAGGAAGCTGAGGGGGTTTCCAGTGGGCTGCATCCTCTGGTGGGACACCCTCGGTCTGGCCCCCAAGAACCGGCGCTGTTGACTCCAGCAAGAACGGACTCTCCTACCCGCGACGATTTGGAGGAAGAGCTTGATCTCCCCTCCACTCCAGACACACATGAGGCGGCTCGAGACCTCATTGATATGGCGGCGCAGTACCCGGCCTTGCAAACTCAGGCACGGCCAGTAGTACCGGCAACGGCACCGACTGCCGCGTCACGCCCGGCACCGCGGGTGATTACAGCCCCGGTCGTGACACCGATGGCCGCACCGGCACTGATGGCAGCACCGCTGTTGACTCATCATTGGGGAAGGCCCATGATGCTGTGGCACCAATCGCCGTCTCCCCGGCACCACTCCCCAGCACCATCGGGCTCCGCTCCCCCATGGTCCGGTACAGAATACTCGTCAGAGTCCGACACGGAATTGTCTGTGTCCCAATGCATCCACTACTGCTCCCGGTCCTGGCCCCGATCCCGGCACTGAAGGTCGGCGGAACAATCAGCACCAGTCGCCACTTGGCCACCCCAGTGGCAGGGTCCAATGCAATGGCCTTTTTGGACCCCCTGGGCCTACCACCAGGCTCAAGGTCAGGGATCTAGGCTGGTGTCGGTGGTATCGGCCCCCCATGCCCCTCCATCAGCGATGTCGATGGCACGCTATACCCCTAGGGCCCCTGAGGATCCCTTATGGGACAGGGCTGTTGAGCGGCCACGGACAAGCACGGCCCCTCCGCCACCGACGTCGGTGGCACCTGAACCTCCAGTCGCGGGGTGCTCCGAGGTAGCTGATCCAGCGTCCAGAGAACCCGAGGGTCAGGAAGACCCTGTCCCAGGAACCTCTTCCTCCTCTTTGCCGGATGAGGCAGTGGTGGGCACCTCCACCACTCTACCACGAATGGATACCAAAGGGCACCAGGACCTGCTTAGGAGGGTAGCAGTTAACCTCAACCTCCAGGCAGAGGAGGTTATGGAGGACTCAGATCCGATGGTGGATGTCCTCACCCCCGAGGGTCCTTCCAGAGTAGCTTTGCCCCTCATAAGGACAATTCAGAACACCACGAAGGTGCTCTGGCAAACCCCGGCCTCCAAACCACCAACGGCGAAAGGGGTCGAGAGACGCTACTTTGTGCCGCAAAAGGGCTATAAGCACCTGTTTACACACCCCCAACCGGGGACTCTGGTGGTTGACGAGGCAAACCACAAGGAGCGGCAGGGTCAACCCAGCCCCACACCTAAGTCACGTGACGCCAAGAAGCTGGATCTCTTTGGCCATAAAGTCGGGTAGTGAATCAGCAGGCGGTGCTTAGCCGATACGCTTTCAATTCCTGGAGCTCGTTGGCTAAGTTCCAGGAGTTAATCCCGGCTGATTCTTGCAGGGAGTTCAGTGCGCTCCTTGAGGAGCGTAGAGTGGTCTCTAAGACTGACCTCCAAGCAGCCCTGGATGCAGCGGACTCTGCGGCTGGAACCATGGCCACCACCATCGCTATGAGGTGCAGTGCATGGCTTCAGGTTTCGGGGATCCCACCTGAGGTCCAAAATACAATTCAGGACCTCCCCTTTGACTGTGAGGGCCTGTTTGCTCAAAATATGGACACACGCCTGCATATCCTGAAGGACTGGCGGGCGACTCAGAAGTCTCTGGGGCTACACACCCCAGCGCCTCAGAGAAAGGCCTTTAGACCTCAGCCCCCATCCCGTTTCTACTCGGGGGCCCCTAGGTGGGATCCACCTAGGAGGAGGGGCAGAAATAACAGGAGGCACCCACCGCAATCCTCCTCGGGCCAAGGCCAGGGTTCGACCAAACAGCCCCCCCGGCCCCAAGCCCAACTTTTGAAGATGCACACGAGGACAGCACACCAGTCGCCTTCTTGGATCCTTCCCCCACTCTGTGAATCGACTCTTCTGCTTCTACCGTGCTTGGTCTCAGATCGCATCAGACCGCTGGGCCCTCAGCACGGTGGGGGCGGGATATTCAATCCAATTCTGTTCCCTCCCGCCCTCCCACGCCCCTTCCCCGTCCCTCTTCAGGGACCCCTCTCATGAGCAACTCCTTGTACAACAGGTACAATCACTCCTAGCTCTAGGGGCAATAGAGGAGGTTCCTCAGGAATTCAGGGGCAAGGGGTTCTACTCCCACTATTTCCTCATCCCCAAGGCCAGGGGTGGGCTTCGGCCTATGCTGGACCTACGAGAGCTCAACACATACATAAAAAAGGTGAAGTTCCGCATGGTCTCTCTGGCCGCCATCATTCCCGCCCTGGATCCGGGAGACTGGTACACTGTCTTCGACTTGAAGGATGTGTACTGTCACATTGCTATTATTCCATTGCTATACACCTATTGGAGTGCACATGAGCAACCACTCGAAGAAGAAAACGGTTACTTACCCCTCGTAACTTGTTCTTCGAGATGTGTTGCTCACGTCCATTCCAAATCCCGCCCGCCGCCCCACTGTCGGCGTGTCCAGCAAGAAGGAACCGAGCAGGCGGCGGGTCGGCAGGGACACACATACCCCGCCATGAAGGCGCCACTCTAGGGGTCTCCACAGCCGACCCGACGGGTTCCGCTAGGGCACGCGCACACACCTATTGGAATGGACGTGAGCAACACATCTCGAAGAACAACAGTTACGAGAGGTAAGTAACCGTTTTTTTTCTCAGACTAAGGAACCAAGTGACCCCTCTGTTCCTGAAAGCGGAGGACGATGGATCCCAGTGCAGGGTGTGGAAGTGGGGAGAGCTGACTGTGCTGCATGCTCCTCCCTGACCTTAGAAGAGCCCCTTGAGGGGGCTCCGCAGCTGCTAGGTCTGTAGGTTGGAAGGGGGTCAGCTGATGCAGGCTGGGCTCTGACAGATTCTCTTCCCCATAAAAACAAATTGGTGGGCCAGAGCCCAGCACCTTGTTACAAACAAGCCAGGTGAAGTTGCCTGTCTTCCGCTCTTCACCACGAACCACCCTAGGTTCCTGGGCCATCAAACAGTGAGAGGGGAGCCCTGGGCAAGTAGATGGGAGATGCTAAGTCCTGGTTCTCCTTGCCCCCACCCCCACATTGATTTCAGGGGAGAATCTGGCCCTGACTGAGCACTTAGTATCATGTCATTAATCCTGCACCATGCAGATGCACCCAGGTAAGAACTCACTGGCCAGAACAAAACCAAACAAATGTGTTTTAAGAACCAGAGAGCTGGAGAAAAAACAGGGAGGGCCTCGGAAAGCAGAGAACCACAAGGGACAAGTGATTCTGCAGAAATCCAGAGGCCAAAGCTCCATCCAGGCAGCACTTGTGAACTTTGTCTGGTTTTGGTTATTGCTCTGCATGCTATTACCCTCTCTCTGCTTCAGAGCTGAGCATCCCCCTTCGGCCTGGTCTACGCTTGGCTTTTTGTCTGACATCTTTCCCGTTGTTGCTAAGCCCAGGGCAGCTCTGCTGTGGGCAGCGGGTGGGAATGCTAGTGGAGAGAAAGTATGGGCTGTTGGTGGCATTTTTACCATTGTGACATGAACACCTGTTCTCAGCTGGGTGAGGTTACAGTGTAAAACACCGGCAACCAGTGTTGAAGGAGTCGGCCCTTTGGGAGCCTGGTAGGAAGGCATCTGGGAGCAGTCTCTGCACTCTTTGATGCACTGATCAGCGTGAGAGCATGTCCCAGTTCTAAATGGCTCCTTGTCCCCTTTTTGCAGGCTTGTCTGCGCTCCTGTTTCCAAGCTCAGATGTTTGAAAATTGTGGGTGTGGTCACTATCTGTTTCCTTTACCTGAAGGGGTAAATTATTGCAACAGTGAAGATGATCCAGACTGGGGTAAGAACACGAACAGAGTGTGAAATAGCAAGGCCCCATAATACGTACGGGAAGGGGTTGGAAACATAATGGCTTTGTCAGGGGCACTTTAAGTAGCTGGGAGTTAAACGTTTTTGCAGCAGGGGCTCTGTTTGCTAACAAGGTGGACAGTGAGGAGGGAGGCAGAGCTCTCAGCTCTGGCCTAAGGCTAAGGAATATCAGCTGCCATAGCAGCTTAGCTGAATGAAGGCTTCTCACAGAGGAATGGCCAGCTGGTAACACCAACACCATATGGGATGACAAGGTTTTCTACTCTGGGTTATGGAGTGAACAGAAACCACCAGTCTCAGCATTTCAGGTGTCCTAGCACGGAAAGGTCAGCACTTCTCCACAGGTTTGTACAGATCCCCAGATAAATTCCCCCCCTTCAGTACAAGGTGGCACAGACCTGATGCAATCCTCAGCACACTTATGTCTGCTCTGAACGTTTCTGAGTGCTGCAGTTCTCTTGCAACAAATGTTTTAGAAGTCACCCTGTATTCATCGGCGGGTGCATCACTGACAAGATTCTGCACTGCTCAAGCATCCAGCTGAATGTTTCCTGCAGAAGGGACTGCAGTAAGTGAGGTGTAGGACCATCGACAGCCCACCACACCTGTCAGTGTTGATGAAAGCCAGTCCACTAGGCCCTGCAAAAGGTGTTACATCGTCTAAGAGTTTGATTGTTTTTATCAATGGATTGTCAAAGCTTCAGAAGGTTATGGGGGAAGCAAATCTGCAGCAGTAAAGTTCTCATCTGACTGGATTGTTTGCTTTTTGTTTTCACCAAACAGCATATTGCTATTCTTCACTGAGGTCAAGTATAGGACACAGGCAGTCTTGTATTGACTCTTGTAAGGACACATGCAAGTAAGTAAATAAACTCTCTCTGGCAGCTCTCAAGGTGGAGGGAATCCTGCGTTTTATCCCTCACTGAACACTGATCTTAAAATCTGAACAGACCTTTATGGGGGGTTGAAATTGAGCTAAAGTTTTGGTGATTTAAGAGCAGTGGAAAGCTCCATGAATTAATGTTCTTGTGTCTTCTTTCCAGCAACACTCAGTTCAAAACGACCATCTCTGTGGCAGGCTGGCCATCTGAGGCGTCAGAGGTAAAATCAGTTCCTGTCTGTCTAGGGAAGATTCCCCGCTTATCGCTATTGTATGCACTTTTGTTGTAGCCATGTTTGTCCCAAGATATTAGAGAGACAAGGGGTGGTGGTGAGGTAATATCTTTTATTGGACCAACTTCTGTTGGGGAGAGAGAGCAGCTTTTGAGTTTACATTTTCCAACAGAAGTTGGTCTGATAACATATTACCTCACCTTACCATTACATTACCTTGTTTCTGCTTCTCACTGGCATTTAAGTGCCTTACAGATGTTAAAAATAAACACTATAAATGGCCATTCTCTCTCCAGCCCCTATTCAGTAAGGCTGTTGGTTTTTTGTGACCTGTACAGCCACAGTAACAGGGTTTCAATTTTGATCTGAAAGTGCTGGGTGATGATTCCAGTGTCTTCCAGTCTGAGATACTCAGTCATGGGACAGTATTGAGGAAGTTCTGTCTCCTGTACACATAATTCTCACTCTGAAAGCTGACTCACTGTTTCTATGGAATGTCACTCTCACAGGAGTCAGAAACTCGGAGTGGGACATGGTCCCTTGCATGATATGGGCTATTCCACAGGGGCCCTTTGAGGAGAAGAACTGAAATACTGAACTTCTCTTTAAAAACCAAGTAAAGAGCACAGAGCAGAGAAGGTGGTATGCTCGTAGTGGTCTATGTGGCTCAGTAAGCAGGCTGCTGCATTTTTAACCAAATAAAGCATTTTTAAGCCTGGTAGCAGAGCTGGATGGAGGACAACTTTTGAGGTTTCATCATTTATTTTTGTTCCACATTGGAATGAACTCTGCTTCCGGTCTGATTCCATTTTCCCAAACTCTCCCTAAGTCATCTCACCACATTCTCTCATCAGTTGAGAACAGTGAAGCTAAAACATCAGGGTCTGTAATATGGATTGATAGAAAATTGGAAGCTCTGTAAAATTACCCCTTTTACCATTTCAGCAGGAATTTTCCTGTTGATTTGCTTCTCTGGGCCCTGGTTCTATGGCCTGGAGGAAAGTCACCTGTCTGCAAGTGCTATTGACCGAATCACAAATTCCTTTATGTAGTGCAACATCAACTGTTATTTAGCATGGGCAGGTGCCAGAGATTCCAGCTTTCTGTGTACAGTTTGTGGACCTTGTAGGTGGTATTTTACCTCCCCCATAGCATACGTGGCTCAGAGAGAACATTTCCCATTTCAGTTATGAATCAATTTTCTTTTACTAGGACTGGATTTTCCATATTTTGTCCTATGAAAGAAATGTGTCGACAAATGTGACTCTGGACAGGTGAGTAAAAGAATAGACCATTTTCTCTCTGATCCAAGGGGCCTGTTAATGTTAGATTAGCACAAAACCTGACCATCATCCCAAACGTGTGCCTGTGGGACAGAACAAATCTACTGATGCCGGGGTGCTTGTCTATCAAGCTAGTTGATCACAAAAGCAGCTTATACAGATACCACTTTCTTAAGTAAATGCACAGGGTATACAGGGCTAGAAATGAGTTTTAACTGATCCTTGTGTCCTACAGAAATGGGATCGTCAAGCTAAATATTTACTTTGAAGAGTATAACTACAGAACCACCTCGGAATCTGCGGCTACAACCGTAAGTGCAGTATCAAGCTCCTGCTTCTAACACACGTGCCAGAGCATATTTCCATAGCCTTTTCCAGAAGCCAAATACCTGCAGACTCTGTCACTCAGTCTCTGAGCAGCGTCCATGCTGCTCCCAAGAGGTTAATCTGAAGTATTTAGACCTACCCCCATCACCCAGAGAATGTTAAATGTATATGTAGTCTGGGACAGAACTCCTACTTCTTGTCAGCACCAGCCTTTACTGGCTGCCTCTCCCTTCCAGCCTCCAAAGCCTGCCACTGCTGCTTGTGGCTCAATGGGAGGGTGGCTGGGTTGTTCAAGGAGGAGGGTGCCTGGGTTGTTCAAGAGCAGCACACAACCTCTCCTTACTCCAGAGGTTGGGGGGGGTGACATTCTATCCTGCAGCTCTAAGAGGTGCAGCGGGAACTCACAGGCAGGGGAGGCATTATGCCACGTTTGTACCCTCCCCAGCCTGGGCTATTTCAGGGCCTAGACTAGGCTCCTGTTATAACATAGAGTCGTGGGGGCTCTAAGTTATGGCAGCTGCCATGTGGCCCACAGAATTTTCTAGAACCTCCACAGTGCTGCATCCCTGGGCTCCATCCCTGACTTGATCCTCAGAACCCCAGCCCTAGGGCTTGTGAGGGGGCACTCTAGAGGCAAATTTACAGCTGCCTTCTGCAGTTCCTGCAATGGGTTAACCCTGCCCCAATCAGATATGGGCCTTTATGCCATTCCAGCACTTCTTCGTAGTGTAAAGAGGTGTGGGTGGGGGGCGATCATCTCACTCGCTACCTTAACTGCACTCCTTGGCAGCAAATTGAGGGGCTGAGCTAAATGTTGCCGGTGTTAGGCTCTGACCACTTATAGTCACCTGCTTAAATATTTTAAGAAATCCTCAGTGAACAGCTGCTCAATGGCATCTTGGGCTGACTGCAGACTAGGATCCTGCCCGGAACTCCCCTCACTTTCCTGATTTCCTGTTACAGCTCTTTCTGCTTGTGAGTGAATTGGAAGGCCTGTTCTCATTCTGGATGGGCGGCTTGGTGCTGTGCCTCATTGAATTTGGAGAAATCATCATTGACTTTCTGTGGGTCACCATAATTAATATCATCAGTTGGTGCAAAGGCCTGAAGCAGAAGCGAGCCCTGGCCCAGTACCCAGATACACCTCCGACAGTGTCAGAGCTGTCACAGGCTCATGTCAATTTTGGGTTCCAACATGAAAAATCCCATTTCAATCCCAATAATGAAACTTATCCCAATGAAGAAATCCCACCAGAACCCGGCACTCCGCCCCCGCAATACGATTCACTGCGCGTTCAGCCCCTGGATTTCACAGAATCAGACAGCGATGGAGGGGGCCAGATCAACACTGAATGCAATTTATCACCTTTATCTAACTGTCCCAACGAAGAGCCTGGTCTGCCGGGGCTCTGCGATTCACTCTGAACAACACTTTGTTCTTAAAACTCCAAAATATAAACCCACTGAAGAAGCCCAGTCTTGCAAGGTGAACTCTTGGAGAAATTCTGCACCAAAAAATTAAATATTCTGCAACAAAAATATATAAAATTCTGTGCACAATATTTTAAAATTCTTCAAAATTCAGTATATTTTGTCAAAATAACACAATATAATCACACGGGTTTCAATTATTTGTGGTCATTTATTTCAAAATAACTGTCAGCAAGTATGTAACAATTCAGACAACAAAAAAGAACCAGGAAATGTTTTCTGACAAATAGATTCCTTACTAGGCATATTAATACAGAACTGCATTTCCTGCACCCCTCAGAAGCAGTGCAAAGGTTTGGGGGAGTCAGGGGTAACGGAGGAGCTGAGGGAGAGGGAAGTGAATTGCTGGAAAGGAGCCCGGGTGTGAACTTGGAAGATTGTTGGGTATGAGTGGGAAAAGTATGGAACAGGGTTTTTTGGGGGCTGGGGAGGGGTTGTTAGGGAGCTTCCCCCATGCAGAGCCTGGCTCCTAGCCACTCCCCTTCAGTCAGGCACATCTGCCCCCTCCCACGTATTCCTGCACCCCCATGTGTCCCTCCACCCCCACTCAGACACCCACTCCCCCATCCCCATGTGTCTCTGTGCCCTCACCCAGCCAGTCCCTGTCCCTATGTAGCTCTGCACCCCTCCCCCATCACTATGTGGCCCTATGCCTCCACTCTCATTTAGCCCCGTCCTCCACCACTGGCCCTTATGAGTCCCTGTCTGACCCCACCCAGCACTGCGTGCGGTCTGTCTCCCAATAGCACGTGTCTCTTGACCTGGCCTGACAGGCTCTTTCTCTTCCCTTGCTGGCCAGGAGCTGCTGCTGTGTTCTAGCGCCAGGCTGCCCTCTGGTGCGCAAAAGGCGGAACTACAGAAGTTAGTTTCTGCTCAGCGCCGCAGCTGGTCTTGTGCCACAGCACTGTCTGGTGGGAAAATGGCAGAACTGCAGCAGCATTTTGGCAGAAACTTGTGATAATAGGCACAGCTCATTGATTATGCGCGCCTGCAGCAGTGCAGAATTCCCCCGGGGTAAAAGTGCAAGTGTCTGGCCCCAGCCTGGCTTGTCGGCACACGGGTAAATGAGCCCCCAGAGAGGCAAAGTGCCAGCAAATACATTCAGCTTCCCCCCCATTTCTCAGCCAGTGGTCTCTGGCAGTGCGAATTACCTGGTGTCTTTGCGAGCCAGCATTGGGCGGATTCAGTCAAAGCCTTTGCCCACCACGGGCCAAGCGCGCAGCCCGCCGAGACAAGGAGGGCGAGGGACTCGCTTTGCTGGGACCAGGGCGGCCAACGTCCTTCTCGCACAGAACCGGACACCCGGCTCCTGCCCCTCCCCCGAGGCCCCCGGCATGCTGGGCGGGCTGGGCGGGGAGGGGGCTCTGGGGTGGGGAGGGGGCGCTGGGGGGCAGGGGCTCTGGGAGGGGAGTTTGGGGGTGGGGGGGTGGTTGCACTCTGGGTGGGGAGGGGGTGCTGGGGGCAGGGGCGGGGGCTCCGGGGAGGGGAGTTTGGGGGGGGGGTGCGGGGGTGCGGTGGCACTCTGGGTGGGGAGGGGGTGCTGGGGGCAGGGGCGGGGGGTCCGGGAGGGGAGTTTGGGGGGTGGGTGGGGCGCTGGGGGGCGGGGGTCCAGGAGGGGTTTAGGGGTGGGGGGAGGGGCGGGGGCTCCGGGAGGGGAGTTTAGGGGTGGGGGGGGTGGTTGCAGGCTCTGGGTGGGGAGGGGGTGCTGGGGGCAGGGGCGGGGCTCCGGGAGGGGAGTTTGGGGGTGGGGGGGCGGTGGCACTCTGGGTGGGGAGGGGGTGCTGGGGGCAGGGGCGGGGGCTCCGGGAGGGGAGTTTGGGGGTGGGTGGGGCGCTGGGGGCGGGGGGCTCCGGGAGGGGGGGTTTGGGGGTGGGGGGGGGGGGGGGGGTGGTTGCACTCTGGGTGGGGAGGGGGTGCTGGGGGCAGGGGCGGGGGCTCCGGGAGGGGAGTTTGGGGGTGGGTGGGGCGCTGGGGGCGGGGGCTCCGGGAGGGGAGTTTAGGGGTGGGGGGGTGGTTGCACTCTGGGTGGGGAGGGGGTGCTGGGGGCAGGGGCGGGGGCTCCGGGAGGGGAGTTTGGGGGTGGGGGGCGGTTGCCATGGCTCCCAGGAAGCAGCCCCCAGGTCCCTGCAGCCCCGCGGCGCCCGGCCCGCCAGTGAGGCGCCTCGCGCCGCACCCGGCGCCCGCTGGCTCCGCCCCTACAGCTCCCATTGGTCCTGACCCCTGGCCAATGGGCGCGGCAGAGCCGGCCCCGGCCCCCGCTGCGCCGCGCGCGCTGGTTGCTGAGCCGGGGGCGGGCCCCGGCGCTGGGCCGCGACGGTGGCCGGGCGGGGCCGATCGCAGGGCCGCTGGGTACGGTGGCCGGCGGGGACCGGCACCTGGCGTTTCCCGGCAACCTCTGCGCCCTGCGTTGTTCGTGACCCAACCAAGATGGCCGCCGCCGCCTGGGGAGACGGTGAGTCTGGGGCGTCCCCTCCCCCAGAGCCGGCCTCCTGCCCCTCGGGGCCTTGCGTGGGCCGGGGGCGTCTGTCCCGGGTGGGGCCGCGCCGCGCCGCCGTGACTCCAGCGCCCCCTCCCAGTTAGCCGGCCCAGGCGGGGCAGCGCGGGGCTCGGGAGGGGGGCGGCGAGACCAGGGGGCCGTTGGGGGAGGGGGTCCGGCGAGACCAGGGGTCGCGGGGCTCGGGCCGGGGGCGGGGGGGCGGCGAGACCAGGGGGCCGCTGGGGGAGGGGCGGCGAGACCAGGGGGCCGTTGGGGGAGGGGAGGGGCGGGGGGGCGGTGAGACCAGGGGTCGCAGGGCTCGGGCCGGGGCAGGGGGGGCGGCGAGAGCGGGGGGCCGCTGGGGGAGGGGCGGGGGGGCGGTGAGACCAGGGGTCGCAGGGCTCGGGCCGGGGCAGGGGGGGCGGTGAGAGCGGGGGGACGGCGAGAGCGGGGGGCCGCTGGGGGAGGGGCGGGGGGGTGGTGAGACCAGGGGGCCGCGGGGGGGGGGGGGCAGCGTGTTGTGCGGCGCTGGCCCCGGACGGAGCGGTGGCTGGCGAGAAGAGGGGGCCCCCGAGGTTGCGACCAACCCCGCTGAGCGCTGCCCCCGTCCCGCCCGCCCGCGGGTAGGAGCCCGGCTCTGAGCTTGGTGGCGGAGCGGCCCCGGCGCCCGGGATGGATTTCTCCAAGTTCTTGGCTGATGACTTCGAGGTGAAGCGCTGGGTGAACGGAGCCTTCCGGGCCGTGCAGCAGCAGGATGCCCCTGGCAAAGTGGACGCCCACGCAGCGACCTTGGTGATGAAGTTACAGCTCTTCATCCAGGAGGTCAACAATGCCGTGGAAGGTGCCGCCTTGTGTCTCCGTGCGCTTGGGAGCGGATGTTGTGACCGTGTGGGCAGGGGATGGTGCTCGCTGCAGCCAGGGCTGGTCCCGGTGTAGTGCAGCAAAGTGCTCTCCGTGGTAATGTGCTACTTGCAGTGTACGGAGCGTGCAAAAAACCAGAACATCACGCTGGGATGTCCGCTCTGCGCTGCGCTGACATTGCTACACGTGGAATTGCACGTATACTGTGGTGCAAGTAACTGCTACCCGTAGGCATTTGCTACATCAGGTAGCAGCTTACTACAACAGCAGTTTCCTACAATCCATCACGTATCAGTAACTGCTACCAGTAGCACATTCCTGCGGAGCAGTTTAATACAGTACACCGGCACCTGCTTTGCAAGCTTCCTCCTGGAGCGCTGCCAGCAGGCACCCAGTGCTGAGTCGAACTGGTTGGCAATTTTCCCACCATTTTTCTCTCTCAAAAAACATTGATTCATGGAACCCACAATTGCTTGTGAGACGGGGTCGGTTTTGACAAATCTCCCAATTTGAAAAATTGTAAATTATCTTTTGAAATTGTTGAAACATTCCATTTTGATATTTTTGAAACCAAAAAGTTTTGTTTTTAAATTTGAAACAACTTTTCATTTTAAAATGTTAATTTATACTAAAAAGAAGTTTTTCTTAAAAAAAAAAAAGTCAATATTGAAATGAAATGTTTTGATTGACCTGACCCATTTTTGTGTGTGTTGGGTTTTTTTTAGATTATTAGTTTGAGGATTTTGACTTTTTGTGCTTGATTTGGAAAAGGAAAAAAAATTGAAGTTTTGAAAACTCTTGCAGAATGAGAGAACTTTTTCCCACTCATTTCTGTCCTGACCTGCAGCATCTTCTGGTATTCCAGCCCAGTTGTTCTTCTCTCTTCTGCTCTCCTACCAATCCCCCCACCAGCATTGCTTTACATGCTTTGTCCTTAGTATTATTTCATAGAATCATAGAATATCAGGGTTGGAAGGGACCTCAGGAGGTCATCTAGTCCAACCCCCTGCTCAAAGCAGGACCAATCCCCAATTAAATCATCCCAGCCAGGGCTTTGTCAAGCCTGACCTTAAAAACTTCTAAGGAAGGAGATTCCACCACCTCCCTAGGTAACCCATTCCAGTGTTTCACCACCCTCCTAGTGAAAAAGTTTTTCCTAATATCCAACCTAAACCTCCCCCACTGCAACTTGAGACCACTACTCCTTGTCCTGTCCTCTTCTACCACTGAGAATAGTCTAGAACCATCCTCTCTGGAACCACCTCTCAGGTAGTTGAAAGCAGCTATCAAATCCCCCCTCATTCTTCTCTTCTGCAGACTAAACAATCCCAGTTCCCTCAGCCTCTCCTCATAAGTCATGTGTTCCAGACCCCTAATCATTTTTGTTGCCCTTCGCTGGACTCTCTCCAATTTATCCACATCCTTCTTGTAGTGTGGGGCCCAAAACTGGACACAGTACTCCAGATGAGGCCTCACCAATGTTGAATAGAGGGGAACGATCAAGTCCCTCGATCTGCTCGTTATGCCCCTACTTATACATCCCAAAATGCCATTGGCCTTCTTGGCAACAAGGGCACACTGCTGACTCATATCCAGCTTCTCGTCCACTGTCACCCCAAGGTCCTTTTCCGCAGAACTGCTACCTAGCCATTCGGTCCCTAGTCTGTAGCTGTGCATTGGGTTCTTCCGTCCTAAGTGCAGGACCCTGCACTTATCCTTATTGAACCTCATCAGATTTCTTTTGGCCCAATCCTCCAATTTGTCTAGGTCCC